AAAATTAAACTGGGCGGTGCCTGTGGCTCAAGGAGTAAGGTGCTGGCCTCATATGCTGGAGGTAGTGGGTTCAAACCCAGCCCTGGCCAAAAACTACAACAACAACAAAAAAATTAAATTAAATTAAATTAAACGTAAAAAAGAAACAAAATTAAACCTACCTGGCCAGGCACCATGATTCACACCTATAACCCTAGCTCTCTGGGAGGCCAATGTGGATGGACTGTCTAAGCTCAGGAATTGAGTAAGAGCAAGATCCTGTCACTACTAAAAGTAAAAAAACTAGCTGGGTGAGGTTGGCACCTATAGCACAGTGGTTACAGAGCCAGCCACAGGTACCAAGGCTGGCAGGTTCAAACCCAGCCTGGGCCTACCAAACAACAACAACAACAACAAAAATATAGCCAGGCATTGTGGTGGGTGCCTGTAGTCCCAGCTACTTGGGAGGCTGAGGTAAGATAATCACTTAAAACACAAGAATTTGAGGTTGCTGTGAACTTGTGACACTACAGCACTCTACTGAGGGGCGCCATAATAACTCTCTCAAAAAAAAAAAAAAAAAAAAAAAGCCAGGTATACAGGCACACACCTATAGTCTCACCTACTCAGGAAGCTAAGACAAGAGGATCACTTGAGCCCATGGGCTTGAGGATGCTATTTGGGCCGGGCACATGGTTCACACCTGTAATCCTAGCACTTGGGAGGTGGAGGTGGGCAGATTGCCTGAGCTCACAAGTTCAAGACCAGCCTGAGCCAAAATGAGACCCCCGTCTCTAAAAATAGCCGGGTATTACGGCAGGCGCCTGTAGTCTTAGCAACTTGGGAGTCTGATGCAAGAGAATCACTTGAGCCCAAGAGTTTGAGGTTGCTGTAGCTATGATGCCAAAACACTCTACCAAAAAGTGACAAAATGAGACTGTCTCCAAAAAAAAAAAAAAAGGAAAAGAAAAGAAAAAAATATGAACTGGCTATTCATAATATAGTAGAACTTCCACAGTTATCCACTTCCCCACATAGACCACCTCCTTAAATAGACCTAATTTTCATAGACCACACATGCACCCACATGTACTTATGTACAAGAGGCCTAGTTTCTTTTTTTTTTTTTTTTTTTGAGACAGAGCCTCAAGCTGTCCCCCTGGGTAGAGTGCCATGGCATCACAGCTCACAGCAACCTCCAACTCCTGGGCTCAAGTGAGTCTCCTGCCTCAGCCTCCCAAGTAGCTGGCACCACAGGCACCTGCCACAATGCCTGGCTATTTTTTGGTTGCAGCCATCATTGTTGTTTGGCGGGCCTAGGCTGGATTCGAACCCACCACCTTAGGTGTATGTGGCTGGTGCCTTAGCCACTTGAGCCACAGGCGCTGAGCCAATAGGCCTAGTTTCTTATGTTGACCACCTCCATGTGTTGATCATTTTGTTACAGTCCCTTGGGTGATCAACTTATAGAAGTTCTACTGTATGTAAAACTGAGATCTCTTGATGTTAATGAAGCTACCTAATAATGCCACAAATTTTATTTCAAAGCTAAACACTATTATTTACACATCTAATAACTTTTGCTTCCCTTCACCTCTGCAGCTGTAACAGGTAATACAGTTAATACCTCTTTCACACGTGATTCTTTTAAAAACCAAGAAAATCTTTCAAAAAAAACCACACTGACGGCTCAGCACCTGTGGCTCAAGCGGCTAAGGCGCCAGCCACATACACCTAAGGTGGTGAGTTCAAATCCAGCCCAGGCCCACCAAAAACAGCAATGACAGTTGCAACCAAAAAATAGCCGGGGGTTGTGGTGGGTGCCTGTGGTCCCAGGCTGAGGCAGGAGACTCTTTTGAGCCCAGGAGTTGGAGGTTGCTATGAGCTGTGATGCCACAGCACTCTACCCAGGGGGATAGCTTGAGGCTGTCTCAAAAGAAAAAAAAAACCACATTGACATAGCTTACCAGATAGGTAGAAAAACTTGATACTAAAACTAGACTGGGCTTGGTGGCTCACACCTGTAATCCCAGCACTTTGGGAGGCCTAGGTGGGCGGATCACCTTAGCTTATGGGTTCAAGACCAGCCTAAGCTAGAGCAAGACCCCATATCTAAAAATAGCCAGGACTTGTAGCAAGTGCTTGTAGTCCCAGCTACCTGGGAGGCTAAGGAAAGAAGATCACTTGAGCCCAAGAGTTTGAGTTTGAGGTTGTTGTGAGCTACAACACCAGAGCACTCTACCGAGGATGAGAATGTAAGACTCTGTCCAAAAAAAAAGAAAGAAAGAAAGAAAGAAAAGAAAGAAAGAAAACAGACTTACTAGCTGCTGTCGCAACTGGCTGAGCAATATTGGCTGGCGGCTTCAGTTTCATGAGTTCATTAAGACTATTATTTTTGAGTAGATCCTTCAGTTGAACCTGGTCTTTTGAAGGTGCAGAAGTCATGGCATTTCGTACTGCTGGTGCTGACACTGAAGGCCGTGTGTTCGCAGTAGTCTGGATAAACTTAGTTAAAGTAATGGTTTGGCGGTTGGTTGTCACAGGTGGTGTTTTAGTCATTACAATTGTAGATCCCAAGGTTGGAAGCTGATTTATTTGATTTAGCACAAATGTTGTAGTAGATGGAGGCTGCTGCTAAAAAACAAAAGACATTAAGTATACCTCTGAAAATGCTTTATTTTCTAATGTTCATATCCATGAACACAGCAAGAGGTTTAGAAGTCTAAAACTGACTCTTGCTCTTTCCTACTGGCACCTCATTTCTAATTAGTTTGATTAGCTATAAATTACTAAATTAAAACACACCACCTTGGCTCAGTGCCTGTAGCCCAGCAGCTAGGATGCCAGTCACACACACCAGGGCTAGCAGGTTTGAATCCAGCCCAGGCCTGCCAAACAACAATGACAACTACAACCAAAAATAGCTGGGCATCGCGATTGGTGGGTGCCTATAGTCCCAGCTACTTTGGAGACTAAGGCAATAGAATGGCTTAGCCAAAGAGTTGGAGATTGCTGTAAGCTGTGACACCACAGCACTCCACCAAGGACAACATAGTGAAACTGTCTCAAAAAAACAAAACAAAAACAAAAACACATCACCTTGAGAAAAAGAAGGTATACCAGTAGCATAACATTTTATAATATACAAGCATTTTCTTTTCTTTCTTTCTTTTTTTTTTTGTAGAGACAGAGTCTCACTTTTTACCACCCTCTGTAAAGTACCATGGCATCACACAGCTCATAGCAACCTCCAACTCCTGGACTTACTACAGATGCCTGCCACAAATTTGGCCAGGGCTGGGTTTGAACCTGCCCCCCTTGGTATGTGGGGCTGGTGCCTTACCCACTGAGCCACAGGCGCCGCCCAACACAAGCATTTTCTAATTCACAACCATTGAGGACACCAAGCCCAAACAGTCATATACAGTAACCCTATATAATAGAAGGACTAGTAATAGAATAAATTTGTGATGTCACCAGCACCCCAACTGGGTAGATAATGTTAGGCAGATCACTTAAACCCCTGGAGGCCTATGTTCTCTGAGACACATTTTCCGTTTCTAACGTTCTGTGACTCTTGTTCAGAGTTTTGTTTGCTGTCATACAGATCCTGACCACACTAGGGTACAGAATATAAAAAGGCAAAAACAACCAAGCAGAGTTTAAATTCTTATACTACATAGGCAACCCAAACAGGTAAAATACAACTACTGGTAATAATAGTATGGGTGCTACCTTGGGCCTAAGATATAATTACAGAGCATTTTATTTTTCAATGGGGGATGACGTGGGAAAAACTAAATAAAAATGGAAAAAAAAAATCAATATGATCTGTGACTATAAGTACCACTGAGAAATTTTTTATAAATTTAAGTCTGTTTCTACTTTTTTTTCTTCTCAAACTACTTGTTATTTCTACATGATTCCTTTAGTAAGTGTGTTCTGGATTAATGCTTATCACTTTTAACAAAATTCTCATCAATAATTTATCACAGATTATCAAATTTTAGCCAGTTTGTCCAATAATTTTATGCCATTAAGCTTCAGTTAATAATTGGTACATTGAAGGCAAGGAACTTTATATTCAAAGCACAATTATAATCACACAAAAAATATAAATAATACCAATGGACAAAAGCTGAAATAAGGAAAAATAGTGAGATAATGTGCATTTCATCTTTATGAATTTTGTATCATCTGCCATAAAATTAACTAAATAAATGTTCTGCTTTGTACTAATTATCTCTTGATCAATACTTAAGTACCAAAGGAATAAAAAAAAAAAAAAACATTTTACAAGGTACGGGGTAAGAGTAGGATACTGGTAAAGTAGCAAAAAGCAGAATTAGGGAGATAAAAGTATTTATTTGACATTAGTTATTTCTACTATAATCCTAAACTATTTTTAGGATCAGAAGCAATGCCAAATCTAAATTATTCTTACCCTCACATTTAAGAGTGCTGGAGTAGGTACCGTCTCTGGTTCTTGTTTCACAGGAACTGTTGTTTCAGTCTCCAAACCCAGTTCTAACGCACTAAGCGTCACTGACTGGAGCGAAAACATCAGTGAATTCCGTGTTGAGAACAGAGTTGCATTTATTTTATTGAAACAGAAAAATGTCAAGCCTTACATTCAAAGTGAATGTGAAATCACTGATACCAGATATAATGTAATAATCTTTGCAAGCATAAAATCTTCACAAAACTAGGCTAACATTATTAAAAACTTATTTTTGCTCTACTTGGGAGGCTGAAGCAGGAAAATCGCTAAAGCCCAAAGGACTTTGAGGTTAACGTGAACTATGATGCTACCCACAGCACTCTACAGAGGTCAACACAGTGAGACCCTGCCTCAAAAAAAAAACAACTTATTTTTGCTTTCAGAGAATGTACATATAGAAAATACAACAGAAATGTCACTAAATAAATAAGACAACTATTAAGGAAATTAAGGATACTCCCATAAAAACTCTAAATAGTTCATCTTTTACATAATACCGAAGCAAAAAAAATCTTGATTTTCATTGTGAATATTTTCTACTTCATAAATGAAAACAAATATTCAAAACAGACTTTGACATCCTGCTCAAAATCATAAAGAAAAAAAAGATAAAGAAAGTAAAGGCCAAGCGAGGTGGCCCACGCCTGTAATCCTAGCACTCTGGTAGGCCAAGGCAGGTAGACTGCTTGAGCTCCCAAGTTCCAGACCAGCCTGAGCAAAAGTGAGACCCCATCTCTACTAAAAATGGAAAAACTGAGGCAAGAGGATTGCTTGAGCCCAAGAGTTGGAGGTTTCTGTGAGCTATGACGCCACAGCACTCAACTCTAGGGTAACTAAGACTCTATCTCAATATAAAAATTCATATGGGGTGGTGCCTGTGGCTCAAAAGGGTAGGGCACCAGCCCCATATGCCAGAGGTGGTGGGTTCAAACCCAGTCCTGGCCAGAAAGTGCAAAAATAAAAAAAAAAAATAAATAACATTCATAGGTATATTTAACATTAAGGCTTAAGGATAAATATTTCTGTATGTAGAAATTACAAATTAAGAAATAGAGGCTTGGCTCAGCGCCTATAGCTCAACCGGCTCAGGCGCCTGCCACATACACCTAAGGTGGCGAGTTCGAATCCCCAGCCCGGCCCCACCAAAACAACAATGACCACTACAACCAAAAAATAGCCGGGCGTTGTGG